ATGTCAGCAGAATACCTTTTTCTGTCCTTTCCATTGTAAAAGAGACAATTATAAAATTCCATTTTAAAATGTGGTTATTCTTTTCCACTCCATTTCTGTACATGTATTTTGAATTATGGGTATTTGGGTGCTTCGTTTATGTTTTCAAAAATATATATTGAGATAAAGTCAGGTTATGGATATTGTCACTGAAGCACAAGATAATGACAATAATTTGGACGGATACATACATGATGGATAAATTATGGAGGGTAGATGTTTTCATTTTGTAGTAGCTAAAACCTAGTGTAACACCAAACAAAGTAATTATAACAGATTCACTTTTTGGACCTTTCTCATTTATATTTTGTTATATTTGGAGCAAATATGTCATGGAATCCTTCCATTGTTTCTCAGATAAAAGAGCAATGTTTATCAGTGCATTAGTTGTGAATGAATACAGCACATATTTCAGAACAAATAATACACTTTATGAATGAATATAGCTCTGGTTTAGATGGGCAAGGATGCCCAGCCGCAGATATGTCACATACATAAGATGGGAGAGTGCACTGCGCTGGAGGGGAGCAGGGGAGCAGTGTGCTCTGTCCTGTGCAATGTGTTTGAACAGGAGCACACAAAATATCAGAAATACATTCAAAATGATCAGGCCACCTCTTTAATCATGGAGCTCCTTAAACTACTTCTATATCCTAGGCTTGTCTGCAGGCATGTTTGTTTATTTTTTACCCAAAAGGAATAAAGAGAAATGATATTATTATGGCAGGTCATATTCTATTCTCACATACATGAATGTAACATAAAGTCAAGTGGTGTGCAGTGGTGTACCAAAATATTGCCCCACTGATTTAATTTGCAGTTCCATATTCTCTGTTTGAGCAGGGAGGATGATGTATCGTTAGGAAGGTAAAATCCATTTAGATTATCTTCTTTTATGCTTCTTTTATTCCTGCCTGTGTTGAAGGAATTTTATGATTTGGGGTCTGGACTATTTAAAATCACTGTGAGTTTTGTGTGTCTTCTGGCAGATTATACTAACAATTTACTCCAATTGCTTTACTTAATATTATTATGATTTCACTTTGATCACAAGATCACAAAATTTCAGTGAAAATAGAAAAAAAGGGAATATTTTGAAAAAGTTCAATAGATGAAGGTCAGTAGGCATTTGTAAAATGAAGGATTTCTATGGTGAGTTATGAAAATAATTTGTATATTGCTGAAATCGTCACTTAGAGACCTTTCCAAAAGTGCCAGGAGCAATGTTGTATATCTATTCTTAACCTTTATACAGACTGCAGGAGCGATGTTAGCCACATCTGCATTTCATAGCTGGAATCAACACAGTGCAATGTAATATGAACAATTTTATCCCTAGCAAATCAATACCTTCTTCACAGATTTGTTGCACATGATCATTTTTAATTGTGGCCTTGGAGCAAATTTCTTATGCCTATTTTCAGTTACCTGAAACGTTATACACAATTACATTACACTGTAGCAGTGAGTTTGACACAGAGTGCTCAGAGGATAAAGTTATGGATCATGAATAATTGCAAGTTTTATATATATATATATTTTATAACCCTGAGAAAATATTACTTGTGTAACAGAATGAGTGGTGGTGTGGGGTGAGTGTGGGAATAATTTTCTGTGCAGAAACCCACTGAGCAGTATGTAAGTCTATAGTAATTAGTAATGCTAATGTGTTAATATTAAACTGCTAACACATGAAATAACATAGCAATATTTAACAAATTTTAGATTTTTTGATATTGTTTCTGTTAGAAAGGATTCTCCCTTAAAGAATTGTTAAAAAGATGTGAAAGCTTCAGGTTCAAGTCAGTATTAATGCTGCAGCACTTCTTGGTGCAGCAATACATACTTTTGATGCTGCCCATGAAAGAATTATCTTGGAGTCATCATCCCCAAACCAAAATTGTCTGTGTGTTCTATACAACTGTCTAGAATACAATAATTCACGAAAGAAATAGTATGCATACAATATTAGCACACCTGGCTGAAAAGATAACAAGATATGTAGGCTGCAAAGATATATTGAAAATTATGTATGGCTTCTTAAAAGAAACTTTTGAATGGATTATGTTACAGAATTAGTGAAAAAATGTGTGAGAAACTGGAAAGGATCATAATGGTTTGGATAGCAGTACTATATGAAAATCATGAATTGCATTGTATTTCAACAACTATTCTAGACTTCATTTAATTTTAGCAAATATTAGTAATTAATCTTTTGTTCAAAATTATCTGATATATTTAAATTGATGACAAAATGGGAAACATTTTGCATCCCATTATCACTATATCTGAAACACAAATTTGTATTTTTATCAATATTTTTCTTTAGGGATTTGCATCTGTGCTTATGTGCTGAATAACAAGGCTGCCTGTTCACTGTTGGGAAGAAGTAGATAAGAATATGAAGAAGCTGTAGTTATGTATTGATAGACAGTTTACCAGATAGTGATACTAAGGCTGAAAAGATGACTCTGTAATGAAAAAGAGCAAGTAGCAGCATTAAATATGTAAAACATAGATCATATGCTCTGATGTTGAAGGTAAAGTGGCATAAAATAAAAATAAAGTTGATACTATATGCATTTTCTATTTATTCAATTTTTTTATGATTGAGTGATATAGAACAAAGAGTTTCCAACTGAAATGCTTAGGTACCCACATGCAGTGACTCTGAAATCTGTACCTTAAGGACAAAGAAAGGTCGCCAATCTCTCCAACTCCTCGTTCTTTGTCAAAAATGGACACAGTTAATGAGGTTTGTTTGGTACAGCACAAATTCTCAGACACAGATAGAGATCCTTTCAATGGAAACAAATTTGTTTGGCTTTACCAGGTTACTTAGCGATTAATAATAGCCTTGAGATGCAGGTCAGAAGGGTCATCGTACCCGCCTGCCAACACAATCTAAAATGTGCAGCTAGTTCGGCTCTGCAGGCTTTGAGGCCCCCAAACACTATGCATAAAGTAAAACAGGCTATTTTCCAACTTCTTTTTTCATATTAATAAGCAATTTTCAAGAGAAGGGTGGCAAAATGGGGGCCATGCCACTCTAAGTAATTCATTTATTTTGCAATTTAATCTTATGTTGGAAAAAAATTACACTGCTGCAAAAGCATAGCGTGGTGATTTTTAAACGTCAGTGTGCTTCATAAGTAACCTTGTGTGAAATATTGTATTAGCAGCCTTTAACAGTAAACTGCAACAAAAAATATTTCCAGAGGTTGAAACAGATCTATACATCTTTTCAATCCTTAACTTATATCCTTTTCGTTCTTTTTGTCTTCTACATTTGAAATGAGGCCTGCATAATTACAATACTTGATAAAAAAAACCTTGAAAGATTATAGAATGAAACAAATAAAAATTCTACGTTATAACTTGCCTTTAAGAATGTAGTTTCACAGTGTTCATGTTATAAAGCAATTATTCCTCTTCCATGTGTTTTGAAGAATTAATTCAACATTATGTTAGTTAAATTATTAAGAATAACAGGCCAAGTCACAACCTTGAAAGCACTTTTAGGAGCACTATGACTTTCCCGTGATATAATTCATGTCACCAAACTTACTCATATGCATATTTTGACGGAGTTTGACCCTTGTCCTAGAATGTCTTGATTGGTACCCATTGAAACTAGTGAGATTGTTAATGTGGGTCAGTAAAAAATCCATTTTGTTGGAATATTTGATTTATCGAGATGTGTGAATAGAATTTTTCTTTGTTTATCACGTTATCACATCCTCACATGCTCAAAAAAAGTGGGAGGGGGGCTAGATTTATTTACTTAATTAACTTATAAGCAATCTAAATGCTTGACTGAATATATTTGGTGTCTTTGGCACACAGGTTAATTTGGACTAGCCATTTCTTAATAACAATAATAACAATGTTAATCAAACTAACCTTTTTCACTGGGTTGAAAACAATCCATTCACATGCACTGGTGAACAATAACACAGAATTATATTTTATACAGAATGTTAATTTACACCACTGGTTGCTTAATCTAGGGCAAGTCTGGCTCTATGGAGAAAAAGCCACTGAGGAAAAACAGCTACGCCTGTTTTGTCTTGTAATTTCCTCTAGCCATGCAGTTAGAATCATGAGTTTGCTCCTTCAAAGCCGATGTTAGATATGGCTGCCTATTTTCTTATTTCTTTTACAAGGAAAAAAAAATCTAAGACCTATTGAACACCTAAACCCTTTAGACGCTATTCCTCTGCAAACACTTACCAGATGGTGGCTTGGGCTTGTAGTGTTGTTCTTGTTGGTTGTGGTGCACTGTTGTATTGGATTACAATAGACAGTGACCTGTGCAAGAAACTTAATGCTATGCAAAAGTCTCTTAAGGACGTTATATAAAGTAATTACACTCCCTACCTCTCAAGGTATTCATACTCTTACAAAAAAAAGCTCAAGGCTTTAGCAATGAATGTCAAATCTCACACAGTGTCTACTATCTTCTTTTATTTTGTTGAGTCTGCTGTGTTAACAGATCAGGTTATAAGGCACTAGCTGAAACGTAGCAACTTTTACTTAGCAACTGAAGAACAATTACAAAATTAAAGTAACTTCTGTTCAGAAAAAAAATCAAACTAAAATGATGCTTAAAACAAACAAAAGAACATGCATGAATCTTTCATCAAACTATTAGCATAAATTGATAGATCTAATATTCAAAATGATATAAAGTAATACACTATTGATAGACATGGTTCATTGAATGATACATGTGCAATATAGCATTTACCATTTTAATCCTATTTCTTTATAGTAATATCCATGTAGAATCCTGCTGCTGTGGAACCGAATGTTCTCTGATTTAGCATTCCATTGATATCGCTTCACTGTTAATGAAGAATAGCAGAACATCATGAAGAATAAGCTATACAGGGGTTAAAATCAAGTAAAGCATTAGCAGGATTCTTGCACTGTGTTGTTATTCTCTTATTCTGTTACAGGAAAGAACTGAACGAGTATGCAGAAATGAGAGAGAAAGAAAAGAAAAGGAAAGAACTAGAAAAGAAAGAGAAGGAAAAGGATCACCAAGCCCGAAAGATGCATTACCTCCTTAGCACTGAGCAGGTTGGTGTACCTGTCCCTGACAGCTCATGCAAGCCACTTGGGCCCCCAGCCTGACAGAGATAAACTAGCAGGCTGAATGGGACATGACTTGTTGAAAAGATATCACAAAGACACTACTTCGAGTTCAATTTAGTGCTTTTCTATAGGCAAGAGCAGGTACCATGACTATTCTGTGACAGCAGCTTCATAGAGGCAGCATCAGCACTGCTGGCAGAAACAGTCCAAGTCAGCAGTTTGATCTGCCACTGTGATAACACAACACGAAGGGCATAACCTCGCTTTAAAAACTCATTTTGACTGGCTTATTGTTGTGTTGTTGCACTTGTCAAGAACTAACAAGTTATTAAGCTGAGGAAGGATTTCATTTTTTCCCCTTTTTTAATTGAGATAATACTTGGTTTGGTGTTGTGTTCTGCAGCTTTTTAAGATTATAAATGCAGGTTTTCAGCTAAAGTTTTTCCTGGAGCCTGAATCAGCTCATTTAGTTTGATTGTTTTCACATAGAAATGCCATATAAATTTTTAATATTTGCTGATTAATTTATTTTGTGCTAATAAAAACTTCAGAGATTTTCAAGCTTTGTTAGGTATGCTGTTTTGCAGACACGTGAATAAGGTAGTAAATATATCTTACAAAAATTGATCTTATTGCTAATGGTTGTATTTTTGCCTTTTGTTAGTCCCTCTTTATAATGTTTTGTAAAAAAATAAATTATGGCCATAAATGTTAGGTGACTGGGTGTTCCTCATATGGATACAGAATTGACATGCAAGGCAGGGTGTGTGGGTATGAACTAGATGCTTCGTTTTTGCTGCTTCCTACTCTGATTGCTTTTCATAGTTCGTTAGTTGTAATTTGTATGTAAGAAATGTTAATCTTAAAGAAGCAAGAGAAACACTATAACACTTTGTGACAGAAAATATAGTCTTTTCCTCTGGGAATCAGTTGCGATCAATGCATAATTAGAAATATAGCTACATTGACAGGATATCAGTTATGAAAACTGAATATATAAATCAAATTAGGTAATTTTAATTTAAAAATAAATAAAAAATAATAAAGTACATTTTATAGAAGGCTTTTAGACAGAGGAGTTAGTTAATAAGTGAAATTAGGTATCGGCAATATTTTGTTTCTACATGTAGAGCTAGAATATTAGGATATTTTTATTATTATTATTTTGAAGCACAGAAAATTAAAATTTTAGTGTTGTACAAAACATTATGTTTACTACAAATGTACAATAATAATAAACAACAGCACAAAATTGGCTGGTTAAGAGACATGTATCTCCTTGTGATCTAAGAACATTTTAGTGGACTCAGTTTACAACTGATGATCCTAGGTTAGCAAACTGTAATGCATTTCTAGGTAATGCCAAGCAGTGCCCTATGTCAGCCATCCACCTAGAGAGCTCTTGGTAAAGGGTGGAGATAACTGGTATGTTCTGCTGAGTCTGGCTTTCCAGTGTTACAAAACTAGAACTTGACTGTCAGTGTTTCGCAGAACAAAATACTCTTGACTTTGCTTGCTGGAATAGTTGATGCGGAGTTTTTCCTGTGTCACAGCACTGCACTCCAGAAGCCATCTTCTCATTCTGCAGATGCTATTCTGAAACATAAATGAGTGTAAATCAATGCAACATCTAGAGACAACCGGTAAAACAATCAAGATAGATATGGAATAAACTATTTATCATAATCAAACTGCGTATATTCCACAGTCATAGAATTTGATCTTTTTCTAAGGTGCAAGGCTTGTTACCTCAGTCAAGAATTTACTGTTTTGCTGCAGCTCTGTGTCTGTCATTTTGCTCTCTGTATCCCTGTCTTCTGATGTGACTAAAGCTGTATCTTGCTGTCTTCAAAGGACAATTAATTGGATTTACTAAGCAGGGTCCATCCATGTCTCAGTAGAACTAGGCAGCCAAAGTCAACACTTCTGAGTGAGTTAAGGAAGCAGAGGGCATAGCAAACAAAAGCAGGATGAGCCGGCCTTACTGGGTACGCTGGTTTCCAGTGTTTCAGCTGAAGTCCAGTGAGCCTGGGATGTGATGTTCCTTTGGCACTTGGCTCTGGGTGCCTCCTGCTCCTGCCGGGTGTAAGAAGGTACAAGGACATGGAGCGGAGCCACCTGCAGAGATCAGGGCTGCAGGTATTCAGGAACATTATCTGGGCAGTGTTACAAAATCTCTATAATGATTGTCCTCTGCATTTCAGTGCCCTGGTTTTCCCTAATGCACTGAGTTTCTTTGTTATGAAACAGTGGCATACAAGCAAATCATTGGTTTATAAAAAATATATTGTATTATACTACAATTTACATTTTTTCTATATTTTTATTCATAATTAACTGAGATTATTTTTTAGATTTTAATTAGCAGATTATATTGCCATAGGAATTTACCAAAATACCACTATTTCCTATTGCTGCTTGGACATTTACCAAGATTTTAATGAAAATAAGAACCAAGTGGCTCATTTCACTAAAAGAAATGTTACTATTTTACGAAAGTAGTTAAAATAAAAGAAAGTTAACCAAGTTAGGATATTTTCATAATCATTATTTTCTAACACTAGTAACGTTAATTTGTTGCTATAGACTTATTGACTGTCTCCCTGTGAAAGTATGTTTTGTTATGCATCGTGCCAAATTCGACAGAAAAAAAGCTTAATGACTCTACAAAGAAATCAGCCATGTATTTTTTGCTTCTGCAAGTAATGTTGACACAAAGCAAATATAACCCTCTTTGTAGGTGTCTGACTTGCCTTGAAAAAGCAAAGTATATTTTTATTTGATTGATACTAGGTTAGTTGCCAAATAATGTCTGGAGAAATAAAATATGAGCTCTAAAACTTTATGCTTATGAAATATTGAGCTTTTAATCATGTTACTTTATATGCCAGTAGCTTCAATAATGAGTCAAGTAACATCTGACACATCTGAGCTTCCTTTGTTTGAAGAAAATTTCTCCTACATGACTCCCATAGTTATAAAAAAAACACAACAGAGTCCATACCATCGTTATCAGGTAGTAAATTATGTTGTCTGCTCCACCTACTGGTTGCTTTTTGCAGGATATTCCGCTGTAAAATACAGCAAAAAAATAAATCTGTGAGGTGTCAAAACTGTGAGGCTTTGGAACTAAGTTCCTTTTTAAAAATAAGATCCCCTGTCCCAGATTTTAAAATTGCATGAATACATATGTACATGTGTATGTATAGCCACATTTGCCTTGTCTGCTTTTACAGTCTCAAATATTCTGAATTTATGATGAACATGCCTTACATGTTTAAAAACTGCATTACACATTTAGTAAGCCTTGGCCTTTGTTTACAATATTTCTTGTCATTATATGTTGGTAGCAGAATAAAAATAACAGTGTAGATCTATCTTTTTCATTGTTTTTATCAATCAAATCTTGATCTGCATTGTAAGTTCATATTGACATATAAAACTTACTATATTTAAGTCCCTAATTGGTCAATAAGTGGTTGATAACTGCAGCATAGTATTTGCACTACTGTGTGAATGAATCCTTTTCTAAGTGTCATTAAGAAATGATGAGATATTTAATATAAAGTTTTCTTATAAATGTATTTATTTATATTTATTGTATTTATATATATTGTATTTATTTATACATTATCTATCCAAGTCATGACAACTTCCCATTTTGTATTAATGAAACTCTCTGTAAGTGAATAGGTGTGAATACTGCTGTGTCATGTTAGTTAAGGTGGCATTTGTAGAAAGGGCCAAAGTTTACCAAGGGCTGACAAACTTTCTTTAAAGTCAATGAAAGACAGAATCATTACAAATATTAATGGGGCTTTGTAGAATTAGATAAGAAGAACCCACATCTGTTGGAATATATACTTGGAGGAGTCTAATCATTAGTATTTCCAATCTCCCAGATTTTTTTCCAGTTGGTCTTGGATTTACAATGATGGTTAAAATTAGCTATATGATAACTTCCACAAAAGCTTGAGGGCCTCATTATACAAGTAAAAAGCCTATTTTAATGTTATTGAGAATGTAGTGATCGCTTAAGCTTATTCACCTTGCTGATGAACTCAGTTCAATGCTTCTTTCCAGAAGCTGGAGCTCCTCTTTGTCAGTGCTGAGATTAGATGTTCTGTGGGAACTTCTATTCCATCTGTGCTAAATGCTTTAAGTATTAAGGCCTAGAGAAAGATTAAATCATCCAGTTGTGTTTGTATGCCTACCCAGACTCTCAATTTCTGTATAGAGTTCTCTACTGGGCCCTGATCAACTAGAAGCAGCTGATGAGTCAGACTGAAGGTTCAATCTGTCCCAACATCTTTTCTTTTAAAGTGGCATATGCCCAGAAGAACAAGGGACAAGGGGGCAATATTATGACATATACTCCCAATACTCTTTCTTTCTATTTGAGGGTTTGGATCTATTCCTCCAATTCCTGCCTATTCCCAGTGGAGAAATCTCCTGAGTAGGAAAGAGCGTGATAACCTACCCAGTCCCACACCACTGACCAGCGGAAGGTGTGCTGTTCCTTTGAAGGCCAAGATAACCCACTCTCTTTGTCATATCTTCCTACAGCATGCTTGTTTTGCAGCATATATTGTCATCTGTCACACGGGAATATGCAACTGCAGAATGCCTTATGGCTCTCTGCACTGTTTTGTGCTGTTCTCCTAATGACCTCTACCACTTTGAGCAGCGTTTAAGTCCATCACTTTCACGTCCTGTTTAGTAGGGTAGCAATTTCTCCAGACATCCTTTGGCAATTCATGAACAGATACTGTTCATAAGCTCCTTGATGCTACATAGCTACAAGAGAACAAAGCTCCTGTTAATGACTGCTTGCTCAAATCAGCTAGGGAGGTGTGGAATCAGTCCCTCTGAACTTCTCCAACGCAGTGGGTCTGCTCCCTGTCAGCAGTTGTGAGAAAAAATTGGATGTTTGATCTTTTACTCTATACATTGCAATGAATCAGCTACAGCTGCAAGAATCCAGG